ATGGATCAATACATAAGAGGACACGTTGGTATTTTCTTTATGATAAGCAATATGATTGTGTTCATCATCATCGTCGTCATGTTGACCATCACATTTATTAGAAAGCGCCGCTACTCTGATAACTAAGCTCTGTCTACACTCAATTGAGTTACCTAGTTATTGAAGTTACCTATTTGGCATAAAAAGTATTGGTATCAGTAAATCCCGCTGTTGTGTCCCGTCCGAAGATGGTCCGGCACGCGACGCCTACAACCAATACTGAGCTTAGAGAATTGCTGAAATTTATGAGTGAAGACTCCAGTGCAAGACAGGCGAAGCTTTAACAATGAAATAATTTAAATCAAGCTTTCAATTATGCCAGTATCCTTGGTTAGGTTCTTTTTGTCATACATTTAATAACAAAATGGTGACTTCGTAATTTGATGATTTTCGTCAGATTTTTTTTGACGCTTCGTTTGATCTTGTATCAACATACAAGATATTTGTTGACTTAATGTATAGTATATCATATATTAATGAATAATTATTATAACCAAAACGCGTTGCTCTACGCTAAACTAAAAAAACTAACATTTTTTAATAGAGATAGACAAAACGGATTACCACAGAAAAGACAACTATGTGTATGTATGTATGTATAACTAAAGTAATTTATTAGTTGCTACACATGAAACTACACACATTAATAATCAATGTAGTGTAAAATTAAAACAATATGATTTCGTAGCACCGCGTAGCAAAGCGCTACGAGCGCTACGAACTATTATTTGGTGACAGTATCCGTCCTGTTACGTATTGTAAACCTTTGTTTTGTAGACATCATATATTTTGTATCTAACAGTGTTTTCATAACATATTATTCAGACATATTTATTTCTACATACATACATACATAGATGTAAAATGAACTAAAAATTCGAATTTCATAATTACGAAAACTTATGAAAACTTTACTTTTACTTTGTCCAAGACATTCATATTATACAGAATCTTCTTTATTACATTACGATGTAATATAATTGACTGGAAAACTAGATACTCGTGCACTATAACCTCATTTCATTAATATCACCTAATTTCTTCAGGGAATAAGAGCTTCGCGAAATGCTGCTCATGAATATGAGCCTCTAGCATGGCTTGAAACTAGTCGAGTTCCTCGTCGAATTACTACGTGAGAAAGCCGAAAACATAATAATTTATTTAGTATGTCTCACGAAAGTTACAATACAAATAAGAGCTTCGTCTTAATTTTTATAGGAGTCCCTTTACATTCCTCCTATCTTTATCTTAACCTATTATTTTTATAGCACTTCATCCATAGCCTGGCGTCTCTTCAAGTATAGTTGAATCCTCCAACAAACACAACGTGTACATAATCGATTCCACAAGCTCGTATGAGAAAAAATCATGTTTGTCTTAGAATCGATCGCGATGGCTTGCACGCCATATTTCTGATTAGGTAATAGATGATACATCTTCAGTTCCGGCGTTACAAAATAACAGTTTGTTTTACGTGATTTTTTTACTAATAAACTATGGGGTTTTGGAGATGATCTCATAAAATGACCAAACCTAAAAAACACAACAGAAAAAAATCCTTAAAACCTTTAAACCTCACAGAAAACTGACGTGAAAAAACACTTGTGTCATATTTTGTCGTATGAGTTAGGTTACCGGAGGCCCTATTATTCCCCAATCACCCCTACCTATCCCTGAATCTCCCCGAGCGTACGGCGCGTCGCGTTCCGCACTCGCCTCAAAGAGCCATCAGACCACCACGGATGGGGCCCAATAGGGCTGATGCCGATTCGGAGCCACGGAGAACTTAACGGGTTACCGGGACTATGGCTCGAAGTGTAGGAACGGGGTGCTTTTTAGTCAGTAAGAGCCTGACATTACCTCGATGATTTTCCCCCCTTAAAAAATCCCTGAATCTCCAGCAATCCTTAAATTCCTAATCCCTAAAAGGCCAGTAAAGCACTTGTAACGCCCCTGGTGTACCACGTGTCCATGGGCGACGACGATTGTTTACCATCAGGTGATCCGTTTGATCGTTTACCGGGTTATCCCATAAAAAAGTAGCAAATGTTCTCTTCTCTGCCGTCTGTCGTCATCGAGCACCTAATGTGGAGTTCAGCAAGAGATTAGGTTAGGAATTACAAAAAGATTAGGAAGTTAGATTATCACAGGCTGTTTATGTTGACGACACAAGGCAGTTTTTCTAATCCGAGTATTGAATGAAGTGGGCAACGACGCAATTAACGTTCATACATTCTATAGTTAATATTGATTCTTTTAATAATACTAAAATGGTGACTCCATAGGTTTTCTCAGCTTGCTAATTAGTTTAACCTCCATGATAGAATTCGTCAATTGTTTTGACGCCCACTCGGTATTTAAGTTTTACTTGGAATCGATCATTCTGATATTTAAGTAATAATCGATTTCGACATATTTCCGGCCCATAATAGGTGGGCCAAGGTTTGGATTTCCACTTTTGACATAAAACAAAGAATTAATCATATCTTTCCTCTTTATGATTTACTAGCTTCTGTCATTTTTTTATAAAGAGTTGTCCCATGCTGAGATTTTTTCTGTATCGTGGGTGCGTTTACAAACACATCATTTATCAACAACTGGACCACACTACCACACAAAGCATTGTCTCGTATGGGGATCGAACCCTGAATTTAGTTCACCTAGTGTCTTTAAACTCGATACTTCTTGGCAGTTCCTAGTAATTAAGATTGACGATTATTGTCGTCACTGTCATTTCATTGAGTTATAATTTTGAAGCGAAATAGATTAATTGTTATTAATGTCAATTAATTCTCTGATTGTATTTTAGATAGAAACAGAAGATGGTTGAGTCATTACAGATACTTACTGTTATTACATTTCTTTCATAGAGTGGTAGTTACTGGGCTTCATAATGCACCTCTATAATTTATAGGTGACCCAAAAGATAATGATTTCCGCTGTAGTAAGTATGAGAATTGAGATAAATCGTTGCGTAATCCATTTAATTTTGTTTGTCCGGTACAGTCGAATTTAGACTAGTCTACGACATTTTACAGCATAAAAGCAGTTCTATGTTAATTTTTATTTGTCGAAGAAGTAGAGATGTGTTCATAAGGCAATGCAATAGCTTTTCGCTAAAAAGAGGTTGTCTATAGTAAACAATTCAACAGTGCTAGCAATTTAGTGTAAGGATTCTACACTGGATCTGGAAATCGAATCCAGGTTTTCATACTAGGACTTGATGTTGACTATATGTATAATGAGCTATGAGATTTTTCCGCCCATGCGGTTTTTTCCGGGGTTTCCCACTCTTAGTTAACTCATAGCGGGTTGACAACGTCTACCTCATATCTCATATTTTATCATCTCCAATTTTTGTTCCATGTTAAGGTACATACATATAATGATCATCATTTTCACCTAGAACCAACAAAAGTCACTTTCAAGAAAAGATTTACCACAATCCTCATGTTTGGGATCCAATTACTTGATTGCAGGTTTAATATAAGGGTTGAAATAAATAGAAAACAAAACAAATTAGAACACATAATGTTTATTTACACTAAGTAATATTCACATAGTTGTCGAAGCACAGATTGTGCCTATTGTAAATGTTACATTAAGTAGCTGTAAGTAATTGTAATAGGAACAAGAAGACACTATCAGATCATTTCCTTTGCCTCAAGAAAAAGAAAACTATTGTCTATGGAAGCGGTTACGAACAATTTCAAAAATAGAAGTAGTGATGTTGCTATGTTAGAAAAATACATTTATAGAGTCGATTCCATATTCAATTGTTTTTAAAATAAATGTTTTAAAAATGATGTAGAACGTTTTGAATAACGAACAATAATAATTTGGAATTTAAGTAGACGTTATGTTATTACAAGCCGGTAATGTACAAGTACAAAAAATACGTCATATATATTTTAATTACAAAGAAGTCGAAGAAACATTCTGATTATTTATTTTTACAACAGGCAAGAATTACAATAATTACAGTACGAATTTGAGATTTATAGCGTTTAAGATAAAATTGTGTCTTCACAATAAATATATGTAAAATTTAGATTTTAGTACATAGGTTCAGACGTCAAATTCACTCAATTAGTTACGTAACAAAGTTCTAATGAGTTATTTACACAATGCATATAAACTGGGAAATAATTAAGTGCGCATTAAAAATCATTGTAGCTATCTTTACGACTTTCGTTTGACGCATCAACAGTTTTAAAATCTAATGAAATTACTTAGTCATTACCATCATTAGTCGTTCTTCTATTGCTTGATAATATTCAGTAGAAAATACACGATTCAAACCAATTCGTAATAAGTAAATACATACGTTTACTAATTAAAAATAACATCAGATTGGTAGGTACTATCGACTTCATTAGCGTCGTATCTTCAATAGAATTATAAAACTACGCTTTAAGTTTTAATTACTAAACAAACTACCTTTACAATAATATTTACAATAGTAACGTAAACTGGACACTAACTGGCTCATAGATTATGTAATTTATCGTAATTATTGCACATTCAATGATAAATCTTATTTCAGTATCTACATGGTCCAAAAACTATCAGTTTACTACTTTGTCCCTCAATAAAATTGCAGTCACACAAGCCAGTCAGTAATCCAAACAAAAAATAAATAATTTAGGAATATCTCTATAAAATATTAAGTACTTAAATAATAAAATCAACTATCACATTTATTTCGAACGAAGCTTCATAAGTTTTGTACAACAATACACTACGGTCAACTAATACTATTTACAGACATATTAAATAGTGATGTACTTTACGAAATACTATTAATAGTGGAGATAAAAACATCTAACGTCACTAAAACGTTCGTTTTGAAATTCAATCGAAACACATTGTCACTCGAGTCGATTCGACTATTTGATTCAATAGTCGAGCACGCGCCGATCGTAGGTGACATCATTACCGATCGCGCGCGATGCCTCGTTTCATTTAGACGCGTTCACTACTAGATTTGTCGCCGCCTCCTCACTGGCTCCTATGCTCATGGCCTTCTTCTTGAGAATGCCGAGATCAGTCACGTTTTCTAAGAAACTCTTGTGAGCTGACAGTACTTTAGCACTTTCGACGTCTTTCTTCAATTCCTCCATATCTCGTTTCAACTTCGCTCGTCTGTTTTGGAACCATGTGATGACTTGAGCGTTGGAGAGACCTAGAGAGCTCGCGATCTCATCTCTGTCTGCAGGCGAGAGGTACTTCTGATACAGAAATCGCTTCTCCAGCTCAAAGATCTGGTGGTTGGTGAAGGCTGTTCGAGATTTTCGCTTCTTCTTAGGCTGTGGCCTCGAGTTGAAGAGATTCAGATGATTTGACTGACCATCTGTAACAAAAAATCAACGAATTAGCTACGGTTATTAAGTTATTAACTATGTGTAAAAAAGAATTTAGTAAGTGGCCAATTGACAAGGTATTAAAAGGAAAAAAGTTGCGTTAAACGATTCAATCGAAACTCGTTTGTTGATTAGTCGAATTTCCATATTTTTTTTGTTACTAACGAAGCGCCTTTCTCTGAGGCCAGCGTTTATTTCTATATCCATCTGCAAGTTACGAAATCATTCAAAAATCAAAGAGAATAACTATAATGAAGACCTAGTTCATATTCTAATTTTACAATGTTCTACAAAAAGAACGATGGCGCCTTTAGCAATCTACCTTAATCACAACGACAGGGTGACAGAAATCAGGTTATATTATATGGAGATTAGAAGTAAGAATAGGGCCATAGAATCGCGGGCAGAGATAACCCTCCACTCGTTATCAGCCACTAAAACACCAGAGTCTATGGCAGTGCAATAAAAAGCCCGCAGCGCTAAAGTGTTACTCGTCCCTCGTAAAATGCACTATAAAACACACCCAGGTATCGTTACATTTTAACGAGCTCACAATCATATACGGGCGAAGGGTATTTTATAATAATGAAAAAATTATCTAACTATACGTATAACAAGTTGCTAATCTATATATAGGTCAGTAGGTGTTAAAAGGATCAATTCTTATTGAAGATTTGTATTATGTATGAATCGTTTTAAGTCTACGTTTTTCATTTTTCTATGATATCCGCAATTACCTAATTTGTAGGTTTTAATTCAGCTCAAAGTACCTGCGTCAATTAATCGGTCAATCTAAAAAGACCTAGGAATATTCCGTTCTTGACATGTTTAAAACTAGGTACGGTTTTACCTTTCACACTCACATAGTTGCATATAATCGGATATACAAATTAAGGGGCAAAACACTGTTAGTACTTAAGAACTCATTTTACGTTTTGTAAATATTTTCCACGCCCGTTAAAATTCAATTTAGTATTTATTGCTCTGGCAATAATCGTAAAGGAAATGAAGACACAACAATGGCGCTATCTTTACATCCGGCACATTTTGTATTATCTGTTTTCAAATTGCACTGTATGCTTTATTATTTTTTGAAATTAACTTGTTAATGTTTTAAGCTTTGTTCGTTGTGATAATGTTTCTGAAATTGAAGCTTTGTTTCTAAAACAATAAGTTAGACTGAGAAAAGCTTTGGTATTATCGATTGTTTAAATTACTAAGATCAATCAACACCAAAATGGTACACCTCTAAAGAAGATTCGAAATGATCAGTAGATAGTTTATGGTCATTAAAAAGTATAAACACTCACTCAATGACCTCCACGAAGATATTTTACGCGCGAATTTTTGCGCGGTTTACCACAGATATTAATAAAATATCCCATACCCTTTAAATAATATGTTCGTCCGTCGTTAAGTAAAACTGCCTATGCATTGTCAGATTTATTGGAATTTACAACATTGAAGTTAATGTACAATTACATTGACCACATGCTACATTTTATGAATATTTTTATTGTTTCAGTAAAGTTGGTTTGACGGTAAAAGTATTCATAATTTAGCACAATTTGGTGATTAATCTTTTAGTGCGGTGGTAGTGAGTCATTTATCATATCATAATATTAAGAACATCCGTTTTATTCTGCCACAATATTATGTTTCTAAATTACCACTTAGGTATACTTTTGTCTACCAAGAATTTTAATTACGTTTTAAATTTTAGATATGAGATAGAGTAAGCGAAAATTACGCATTATAGTTAGAATGTAACAAACTGCATTTAATTTTCCATATCGAAAAGCTTTTGTGTAAATTGTTGTATTACTTAGAACCAATGTAAAACATGATGTCCAAAATATAATCAGAAAATAATTGACACAATAAACCTTTTTATACACAGCCTGTACTTTTGAACTGTTGATGTTCTTTATTTAAATGATCGTTCGCCAATATGTTTTCAAATTTAGAATTCCGATACATCAAAGAAATCAATTAGTAAACAGGACATGGAAATGCATGGAGTCGTAATTAAATAAATTAAATGAATCTCTTCACATTAATCAGGCGTCGGCTTCGTTCGGTCACCGTCACGACTCATTAGCAAAAATTATAAAGGAATTTATTTTTATAAAACAGTCTTGTGTAGAATGTTGCTGTAGTTTTGAAGAATGGATTCTGATTCACTCTAGCTTTAAATAAGTTTCAACAAGAACTTTTGAAATTTAATATGGTTACAGTTTGGAAATTAGCTATGACTGAAAAATTAATCTATAAAAATAAATGTTGACTCATTGTATGTTCTGCGCTGATTATTAATTAATCAGTTGGTCGCACTTTACCTATTTAACTGAATTGATAGTAGATAGATAGATAGATTCACAGGTTTAAACAATTTCTTCACCTACCACTTCTCTGTCTCAAACAGCACATAGAATTTTTAATTCTCCCTAAATACTTTAAACTCCCAAGTTGTTCGTTCGTTAACAGTTAAGGTAACCTCACTAAAGATTGCCGGCTGTATTAATCATCGCCTAATCGTATCCTTAGCGAATTCGGACCTCAATTACATGTGAATCAAACAGGCAAAGTGCGAAAAAAGAGCCGACCCCAAGACGTCGTTAAAGACTTTACAAAAAACATGGAATCAGTCACGGTGAGAACACCTGACCGACTGTGTCACTTTGTGTGCCTAATGGATGGGAATTTTGGAAATCAACATTAAAGGTTAAACCAAAAATATTTAGATGTATTGAAATATTTGTCAACTGTGTATGAAGTAGAATGCAACTTTTAAAAATGTTGAAAACCGGTCTGGTTTCGTCGGTTAAACACAAATGTTTTGATATAACAAAATTATATTTAGCATGAAGACAACTCCTTGCCTTTTTATAAACGTAAAACAATTGACAGAAATAGCAATATTGTATACTCTACATTTAAAAAAAGAGTAAAGCTAAGCTCGTTTAAATTCCTTTTTCAAATTATGATACGTGACAGTTTAGTAATAATGTTGCCAATTTCGATAATTACAGACCTAAAGAGGTGTCTACACTGTCTACCTGTTACGACAAGCTTAATATGACACACGTTAAACAGATCATAACAAGAACGTATTAATTTGACATCGTAAAAAATACTGCAGCAAAAAACTCCTGCAATAAACTTAATTAATTGCGTATTTTTTCCTAAAACATTTTGAATAAAAACCGCACAAAGAAATAAAGTTCTTTGAAATTGCAAAGGTCGTAAGACAATTATACGAGATGCATCATTTATCAGCATTAACTGAATCTTTTTGATGGTACGATCAAAAGACGGAGAGAATCGAAACTTCCTTTATCGTTTTATTTTGTCACGGCTATTACTTTACGTACTTAATTAATTCTTCAATAACATCACGTAGTGTTGTGTGTGAGGGCATCGGACCGACCTTTTCTCTTCTTAAAATACCTTTACAACTCGAAAAAAGCAAACGCACGATGTTTCAGTCCACTATTAACTGACCTCTAATTGTACGCTCAATCTTACCAAAGCGAGGTCACGGTTATCTGGATTGTACATCGATTCGATTGTTTAGTATCCATTGCGCGTCTATAATACGAGATTCAATGAACGTTCATGGTGAAGTGAGCAATGTATAGCTAAATTGTTATACGGTATCGGTTTTGTAGTAATCAATGGAGTCTTCAATGGGTCGATACGCACGTAACCGTGTCTTTGAAGGTCGGTCTAATTTCGTAGCGAACTAGGGTTAAGTGATTAATGGGTTGGGTGAAATAAGATGAAGAATAAGCATGGTTATCGAGACGTTACGAACGTAGTTTGATGTTTTTTGTTTTTACATGGATTAGAAGGTTTGTGTTGCGAGTAGTTACAATAAGACTTTCACAAAGGGATCGGGTCTTATACCCAGACTTAGTCGCGGAGAACCTAACGGGTAACCGGGGCTCCGGTTCGACGTGCAGGAGAAGGAACGGGGTGGTTTTTAGTCAGTAAGAGTCTGACACTCCCTTCCGCCTCACCCAGGCGGGAGCAGTCATTCGATGATTTTCCTCGCTTAAAAAAAAAAAATACCCAGACTTAAAACTTAGAGCGGTTACGGTTACCTAAAGACGTACCTAAAAAGAGCTGTGATTTGGCCTGAATCCGTCAGAAACTGGTTTAATTCCTAACAAAATTGCTGCTCTTTAAATAGACAGTCCGCTAAAATGGACTAATGTAGCCCATTCACCAAGAGGCCAATGTAGCCCATTTACATTTACCAGGAGGCCCAATTACCCCCCTCCCTAGTCCACCGAATCCCCGAATCCCCACAATCCTCAAATTCCCAATTCCCGAAAGGCCGGTAACGCACTTGTAACGCTTGGTGTTTCGAGTGTCCATGGGCGACGTCGATTGCTTACCATCAGGTGATCCGTCTGCTGGTTTACCGGCTTATGCTATAAAAAAAATTCATCACACAAGATGTTTGTGATCTGATTTGTAACATTCAACATCGTCCGTTTCTTTCAGCTTGCATCGTACCTCCATACCGATCGTGACACTTGAACAATAGCTTCGGACAGCTATTAACGACCACAAATTGAATGTCCTGTTAATTTTTTCCTTCGTACACCTCGATATTTGGTGTCCAAAATACAATAGCATCCTTTTTCTTAGCTGGTAACGCTTGTTTGCGAAAAAAGCGTATCGAAATCAAGGTTTAAGGGTGATGCATTGAGTTTTTCTATACGTGATTGATAGGGCATTTTGAGTCAGTTGTTTGGACTTTGGGCTGTTCATCTGTTGACTGTAAAGGAACGGACTAACTATGTTATTTAGTTGAAGGTAACTTAGTTCCCTGAGGGTCTAGAATGCTTGCCGGATTTGGAATTACCTATCTTAATTGAATTGACATCAGTTTCCCAATTATTTGGTGCGTGGTGAAGTGTGATGTGATTTTAGGAAAACAGTTCGTTTTCTGGTTATCCTTACTAATATTATAAATCGGAAAGTGAGTTTGTTTGTTTGTTCCACTTTCACGCCGTAACTACTAAACCGATTGCTTTGAAATTTTGCAGACGTAAAGTTAGAAGTCCGGATTAAATAATAGGGTACTTTTTATACCGGAAACATATTGATATTCCCGAGGGAAATCAAAAGTATTGGTATAGATGGCGCTGTGTGTATTGGTATATGTCACATAGGCTACTTTTTATCCTTTTGTGACGCGAGCGAAGCTGCGAGTAGAAGCTAGTTTAAGTATATTTGTCACCTCAACTGGTACTTAGGTCAGGAAAATAAATACATTGCATTATGATTTTGAAACATAACACCCTTTGCAGTAGCATGGAGTCCTTATTAATACTGATCAGCCATAAAATAGTATCTAATCGAATATAGACATTAGTCTACCTCTCGAGTAACCAGGCGTGATAATATTATGTTATTGACCACACATCAACAGAACGATTGAAAACGATTACCGATTAATCGATTACTTAAACTCCGACGTAAATGTATAGCAAAGTGATTAATTTTGTTTTATTCTTAATGCAGTTTTTAGTTTTATAATCTCCAAGATTGACGTGTATTATGTAGGTACCTAAATATTAATTATTAGTTGTCAGTTTTATAGGATTAGAGTAGATTATTGTTTTTATACAGTAGCCTTAAGGAAGAAGGTCAAATGGCTAATCCGAATTTCGATTTCTTTGTTTTTGTTACGTTATTAGACCAATATTTTAAAATAGGATATAAGCTCAGAACTGAGCATTTAGGACAACGTAGGTATAATGAAAAGGAGCCAGATAAAGGTCGCTTCCAATTAGTTGATCAGAAACTGGAAGCATGGTTTTTCTATGACAAGTATGTAAGGCACCTAAGAGTGAGTC